CCACACCGTATTAAACATTCACTTTACAGCCACAAATCTTTCTTGATAGTATTGTTGAATTTTCATCAGTGTATCCGACACTTTTTATAGTGTCGAAACGTTACATCATCTTGTTCAGTGCATGCCAACTCAGTTGAATGCGTTGTATAAACTCAAACCACTTCCCCGGAGGTTTCACCAAAACAAACTTGGCGGAACCAGTGTGATTCCGGCTTCACCAAATTATTGCCATTGAACTGGGGTTTGAATATGTATGCCACTTTATGTGTAACAGGACCCCCGGGGCATCCTGCCTGGTAGTTCCAAGAGCAGCCAATGTGGGTAATGATCCAATTCAAATCTATCCAGTATTTTGCGATTGTTAATGGCCGTCGTGAGTGCCTGTGAGTACCCATGTTTTGACATTCAAGAAGGAGAAACTATTAATATTATTCAATTTTCATATTGTGTACGTTTCCTTGAATTTATCGATTATCGAGCGCAAATGTTCATGAAAAATCAATAAAAGCTGTCGTACGGCGTAATTTGGTGTAAAAATTATATTTTCCTCTACAACAGGTACACCCGGAGACATATTGGTTCTGAGAGCGGCCAATGTGGTCAGTGATCCAATTCAAGTCCTCACAAAACTGGTTGACAACAAATCAGGAAGAAAGAGTTGTCGTATGCCATAGTTCAGCGTAAACATGCAATTGTCCCCTACTTAAGGTTTCTCGGAGGGCATTTCGGTTGTTCCGAGGCGGCCAATGTGATTAATGATCCAATTCAACTTTATAGAAAGCCTACTGATGCAAAACCATGAAGAAAGAGCTGTCACACGGCATGTTTTTGTGTAAAAATGCAATTTTCCCCTACCACAGGTTCCCCTGAGAGTACTCCGGTGGTTCTGGAAGTGGTAGTCGATGATCCATTTAAAGTCTTTCTAAAGTCTTTCTACGGATGAAAACCCATGAAGGAAGAGGTGTCGCATGGCGTAATTTGGTCTAAAAATGAAATAGTCCCTTACTGCAGGTTCTCCGGGGGTACTTTGGTGGTTCGCGAAGTGGCCAATGTGGTAAATGATCCATTTAAAGTCTATAGAAATCCTAATGATGAAAAAGCATGAAGAAAGAGGTGTCACACAGCGACGGCATGTTTTTTGTTAAAATGAATTTGTCCCCTACTACAGGTTCCCCGGTTCCGGAAGTGACCAAAGTGGTCAATGATCCATTTAAAGTCTAAAGAAAGCCTATTGGTAAAAAACCGTGAAGAAAGAGGTGTCGAACGACATGTTTTGGTGTAAAAATGAATTTGTCGCCTAGTAAAGTTTCCTCCGGGGGCATCCCGAGCAAAGTAAGAGATCAAATTGAAATCAGAATTTGCTGTTATGATGTACAGTATGCAAAAAAAGTTTATCCACCCCCCTACCAATTAACATTTCTTTTTGTTTTGCTGGTGAAAATCAGTTTAATTTTATGAGTGTTTTACAGAGTTTTAGTGTGTATTCTGCAACTTTATCCAATGTAAACATTGTGTCTATCTGTCATTTAGTGCTCTTGAAGTTTTCGTGCTCAAAATTTCAGTTTTGTGTTCCAAATTGGAAGTTATTTGTTTCAAAATGCCTAAAAAAGATCAAATTTCGATCAGAATCCGAAATTTGATTATTGAACATCACAAAACTCGCAAAAGCTACCGTGATATTGCCGATATTGTCCAGATTCACAAAGATACGGTCGCTAGATTTGTGCAGATGTACAAAAAGCCTGGTTCTATCTCACCAGCTAAGCGATCGGGGCGTCCTTTAAAGACAACTGGCCGAATTGACAGAGATATCGTGAAGAAGGCGGAGCTGGACCGGGGACTATGAGCTCCAAAAATTACGAAACAGATTGAAAGCAAGTTTTCTATTTAGCTGACATCACAATCCGTACGAAATCGTCTTCATAAGAAAAGTCTTAAGGGCAGAAATAAGAAACAAATAACTTCCAATTTTGAACACAAAACTGAAATTTTGAGCACGAAAACTTTCAGAGCACTAAATGACAGATAGACACAATGTTTACATTCGATAAAGTTGCAGAATACACACTAAAACTCTGTAAAACACACTTAAATCATAGTATCCGTTTGGGGGTGGATAAACTTTTGTTGCGTAATTTTTTACCATTTTTCATAATTTATCACATGAAATCTCAAGAAAAGATATAAACGCCGTATTTTCAATGGCAATGTGATAAATAAATAAAAATTGATAAATCATGGTGGAACACTCATAAAATTAAACTGATTTTCACCAGAAAAAAAAAATGTTAATTGGTAGGGGGGGGTGGATAAACTTTTTTTGCATACTGTAACTTATTTTGAATACTCCATTTGATCTCATTTTGGTTGACTTAACGGTTAACACAGCAAAAATGAGATCAACATTTTACACTGTTGCATCAAACGGAAAACTAATTCTGCTTTCAAGGAAATCAATTTGATTACTGATTTTGCATTCATAATGTTTGACTGAATACGGGCCTGCCGTAAATGGTTCCCAAGCAAAGTCGGTTAACAAAATGAAAGCAAATCGATATTAAATTTTGCAGTTCCTATCATAATGAAAACTCATTTTGATTTCAATTGTCGTGACATAAGTCTGATATCATATTGTGCTTTCATTATTCAGTCAAAACTATTTAAATGAAAGCAACTTAACTTGAAGTTTTGCTATTAACGTCTTGTTTAAGATTTAATTTAAGCTCATCTGTCGTTGAACTAATGATTATTGCTTATTTGTTTTGTTTAACACATTTTAGGTCATTCATGACTTGCCTGGGGTGAAATTTGAGCTCAAAAATTTCAGCTTGAGAAGCATAGCTTGGCACAAACTATATGAAGTTTATATGGAAATTACTATGGTAAAACAAAACTTTCTGTTCATTGTCATTTAGCCTTTTTACATATTGTACTGTTCAAAAATTCTATTGCTATTCCTATGGGAATTTTTATCAGCTACAACTTTGTAGAAAATCGTTTTTCAGCCAAACGTCAAATTAAACAGTTATTCATTGTTTAAGAGAATGATAATCTTATGGCAAGATTAAGCAACTGTATTGTGGGCAACACTGTATTCTGCAGTGTGACATAGTAGCCATGATTTTGTCCTCTATTCTACGCGCCATAAACACCAATGTTGCCTGCTGAACAGATGATTGAGCATAATCATAAGACATTAGTGACTTGAATGATTAATAACTTTTGTTCCTTACATTTAATCGAAAATTGGTCTCGAACAAAGTTGTAGCTGAGTAAATTTTCAACAAGCTCAGATATCATTTTTTAAAGTGGAGTGAATTGGTGAATTTTGAGATCGATGTGAATCGAAATTATGGCTTCTCCATAGTAATTCCCATATAAACTTCAAATGGTTTGTGCCAAGTCAGTTTCTCACTAAATGAGTTCAAATTTTGGGTGACTAATCAGGGCCCAATTTGGAACCGTTTGAGCACTGTGGAGCGAAATTTGATCAGTTTTTCAGTAAAATGCTTCTTGAATATTACAAATAGAACAATATTCAACGAAGTTACAACAGTCCAAAGTTGGACAAAATTTTGCTAGTACCCTTTAATTCGCACAACCCCTGTATGTGTAAATATAAACTTACTTAAAATTAGCATATAACTCTAAGTGATTTTTTTTTTAAATATAGTTTTCCTTCACAGAGTTCTTTTCAGAATTTCTCTGAAATAAATTTGAGAATCTCTCCGGAATTCCTTTGACTTTATTATTAGAACTGCCCAGATTTTATATGCAGATCAATCCTTACAAACATAATGAAATCCATCCTAAGACTTACTATGATGTTTAAATGATTCTTCCATGAATTGAATAAAGCTTTATTTCATAAATCAATTAACAAGTCGCTTGAATTCTCCAAAGAGTTCCCATATCATTCACCACAGATAAGTCTTTGAATTCTGCATAGAATAATCTATATTCCTCTCGAAATTATCCTTGGAATTCCATTAAAAAACCTTCTATGTATTTCTTTAAAATTTTACCCTTTATTTTCCCCTCTTGGGGTTTTTTTTTCTTCAGAATTCCATTGGAACTCTCTTGAGAATTCACTTTAAATTATGTTTTGAATTACCATGGAGTTTGTCCTAGAATGGTTTTGGAGCTATTCAAAGAATTCAATACCCTCGGAATTTCTTTGCGACTTGTGACCTCGACTAGATAGAAGTTAGTGACCTATTGGATGATCGACAGCTCAGTTCAGAATTCACTCACCAGGTGACGATAGTTTGCAATCTGGCATCTTAATACTTGTTTTAACTATCGGCGCCGGTGGTGTAGTGGTACGCGTGATTACCTCTCACCCCAGCAGGTCAGCGCCGCGCCGCCGGGATTTTCTGAGGCATAACAAGCATGGGTCGATAGGTAGGGTCCAGGTGTGGGAGCTGCCTTCCTGGCGTCGGTAGCATTGGTGCTCAGCACGGAAAACAAGATCGACGGAAAACAAATCAAGGAAAAAATACTCCTTTTAACTTGACAGTACGACTTGATTGAAGTTTACTGATTGCTGTAACTATCCTGCATAAGGGCAAAATCGATACAATAAAAATCGCGTAAAAAACAGAATTGATTTTATATGAATTCTGCGAAGTCACCGTGATATGTGCCTTTAGTTTAACAATCTCCTTTCTTCACTCACGTGACCAATCCCACATGTCCCATCCCACCACAGATTCGTGTACCTCATACTATCATCAAACGCGGATCAATTTGTCACCAGTACAAAGGGCAGTGCCACCGCACTTTAAACCACCGACCAGGCCAACCACAACGCCGCAGTTGCTTCTCAAACAGACACACTCTCCACCACCCTGTTATAGATAAGATCAACCATTCTCGCGGTAACGTGATAGTAATTACAGCAAATGGGTTTGCACTTCAACCCCATACCGTCTAACCCTGATATTATGTGATTATCTGCCATGCACCAATTGGTTCTATCGATTATTTCATTCTTTCAGAGACGACAGAGCAACCTAGCGGCCAGCTAATTGTAACATCATCCTGTCCTGCTGATCCAGTCTCAGAACAATGGCACCCGACATTGCAGATCCCACTCTGGCTCCCGATAATCATCATAGCAGCAGCAGCTCCACCATATCCTCATCCTCGGTTCAACAGCGGATAGTTAGTACCAGCAGAGAAAACAAACTAGTCAGTAACGATGACAATAACAACCAAATCGATCCAAAACAAAACGTTCAAAGCGAAGAGTTTCGGCCCCAGATTCGGTGGCCAGACTTTTTCGCACAGCTGTTCCTGCACGTGGGCTTCTTGATAGGCCTGTGGCTAGTAATAACACTTCAAACCAAATTCTACACCGTTCTGTGGAGTAAGATTTTTCTGGCACTGTAATTTGAAAATTTTGAACTAATAAGGTTAAAAAAAACTTTCAGCACTGGTTCTGGTATGGACATCTGGTATTGGAATCACAGCAGGCGCGCATCGTCTGTGGTCTCACAAATCGTACAAAGCGAAATGGCCTCTACGGCTACTGCTTATGTTTCTGTTCACCATATGTGGCCAGGTACGTTTCGTACAATGTCTAATTTCAGTTCATGCGAATCCTAATCACTTTTATTTATATTTTAGCGGGATGCATACACCTGGGCCCACGACCATCGAGTGCATCACAAATACTCGGAAACGGATGCCGATCCGCACAACGCCAAGAGAGGGTTTTTCTTTGCCCACGTAGGATGGGTCTTTACGACTCCACACCCGGAGGTGGTCGCCAAGAGGAAGATCATCGACATGAGTGACCTGGAGGCGGATCCGATTGTTATGTGGCAGAAAAAGTGAGCAGGGATATTTCTACCTTTATATAGAGAGTATACAGCCTATAATCGCTTATTAGTTCCATATGGCTTTTCGTCAATTTTAAGATAACAATTTTATCCACTATCAATTGGCATCTGTTTTCATATTACGTGATAAAACAACGGACAACATCAAGTTAGTTTGTCCCATCAAGCAAAGTAATCGCATATCAGTCCCATCCTGAAATTATATCGTCCAGAAACTGTAACTTGACCTCTGATGCAGAGGTCAAGTTACAGCTGTGCTTTTTGTATCGCCATATTTTCGCAGATATAACAAAACATGCAAGCTTCATTGTAACTGATTTCAACTTGAAAAATGTATCATTTAATTTACAATGATTTTTCAAAAATTAACATGAGAATTGCACTTCGTAACTTCAACTGCCGTTTTCTCAATACCTGCTTTTTTCATATGGGACTGATATAATATTATAGGAACTATAAATGCACAGTACAGCTTTCCCCCGAAGAGCGCGAGTAATACAGCTTTCCACCGAAGAACGCGTTACCCACTGAGTTCTACCCACCGGGTTTTCAACCAAGTGCTCTGATTTTCTACGAATGACTACACTCAAAGATAAATTAAATCAAAAAAGCTTAAAAAGTATGCAGTTTCCCGCTTCATCTTATTGAGTTCGAGCCATGATTACTTCGCCAGTAGTCATGCATGATTAAATTCAAAATAATCTTTCCAGTATTAAATTTTAATACTGATATATAATCAAAAAAGATTAAAATTCAATCAAAAATTATTAAAATAAAATCAAAAATGATTCAAATTTATAAAAAAAAAAGATAATCTACAATCTAATCAACCATGATTAAACTGGGATTAATATCAGATGCTTATTTTTTTTAGAAAGAGAGGATTAATTTTTAATCATTCAATATGATAAAACTGAGTTTAAGGTCAAATTGATTTAATTTCAAGCAAAATGGGAATAGTTCAATTTATGAGTGTAGTTCTCCATTGGCACTACACGGTATCCGCAAAATACCCAATAATGACTACAAAGCAAGCATTTTCGAGGGAAACTGGGACTACCCATTAAATGAGTAAACATATTATGCATTTATGAGTATTTGTTACTCAAAAATGAATACTTACTACTTGTTTTTGAAGTTGTAATTACTCATATATGGGTAAAATTTTACTCATTTAATGGGTAGTCCCAGTTTCCTTCGAAAATGCTTACATAGCAAAAAATTCTGAATTATAATTGTGATGTAAACATTCATTTACGTAAACTTGTATTTCATTTCACGCAAACGAGCAACTTGTAAGCAATGTTGTTTACAAATATGGACATCTATATACAATATTTGCAACATTTCAGGAAATGTCTCAGAACTTTACACGATTTATAATGTAAACTTAGATGAGATGTGACGCTCCTTTTATGTGTACCATATTGAACAGAAATTTTCACTATTTTTTTTAAACTGGGTACTTTGTAGTCATTATTGGGTATTTTGCGGTTACCGTGTACTCACATGCAAAAAATCAGACCGACTGGTTGAAACCCCGCCGAGAAAAAGCGGTGGGTGCAACTCAGTGGGTAACGCGTTCTTCGGGGGATAGCTGTACGTACACGCTAACTTCTGCTTACTCACCAGGTGAGTCGATCGTACTCACTTTCGTCCGATGTATCGAGTTGTCAAAAATTGAGTAAACGAGAAATGTCAAACTGAGTAAAAGCCACTCAGTCAGCAAAATCCTGGACTTGGAAAAAATGCCAGTCATGTCGGAGGAAAGCTCATAGAAAATATTACTCAAAACCGGCTGGAATGCCTTCAGGTAAGTACGAATTGCTTAGGGAAACGGTGTTGAACCGTTTTTTGCTCCGGTAGAAGGAATCCGGAGCAGGCAATTTCCATTTCCTTGAATGAAAACCAAAATAAAAACCCTCCCTGCAACTGAAAATACCGGCGAGTGGATTTGACTCAGTCTACGTGAGAACGTAGTTTACTCAAAAGTGAGTGAACATAAGGCTACTCAATTTTGAGTAGCCATACTTGCCGCTGAGATGAGTACATTCGACTCAATTTTGAGTTGACCAGAATAAGCGTGTAGCGCGTAAATCGAATTCGCGTAAATGAAGTACACGTAGCATATGGGATTTGACCTAATAGGGACCAACATAGAATATCTCGCGATCCTGGTCATATAGAAGGTTACTGTCTTGGGCAAAGTTGTTCAATGGATCAAGACCTAAAGGTTGGTGGACAGAAGTTCGGAATTTTCTCACTACGCGACGCTAGTGTGCATGAATTTGTGATATCCTTGTTTGTGTGATATCTTGAAATCCTTGCCATCTAAGAAGTTGCTTTCTTCGGTGAAGTTGTTCAGTGGATGAAGACCAATATGGATAGAATATGGGTATTTTCGGAATCGGGATGACGTCTAAAACCCGTGAATCGATTTCCGACGCCTTTTTGGAATCCAAGATGGCGACTTCCAATTTCAGAAAAAGTGAGAAATACTACCAAATACCCTTCAATATGGATATTTTCGGAATCGGGATGACGTCTAGAGACCAAAAATTGATGTCCAGTGCCATTTTGAAATCCAAGATGGCGGCTGCCTTTTTTAATAAAAAGTGGGAAATACTCCTAAATACCCTTCAATATGGGTATTTTCGGAATCGGGATGACGTCTAGAGACGGATAATCGATTTCCAGCACCATCTTGACATCAAAGATGGTGGCTTCCAATTTCATAAAAAGTGGGAAATATTGCATTGCTAAATACCCTTCAATATGGATATTTTCGGAATCGGGATGACGTCTAGAGACCGAAAATCGATGTCCTGTGCCATTTTATGTTCCAAGATGGTGGCTTCCGGTTTCAGAACAAGTGGGGAAAACTGTTAAATACTCTACAATATGGATATTTTCGTAACAAAGACGACATGCAGATGTCAAAAATTGAAATGCCGAAATGGCGTTAGCCATTAATTTTCCGTCTATTGTAGGGTATTGGACAGTTTTTTTTAAACAGGGCTGCCATCTTAGATTTAACATCGTCGCAACATTACCACCATCTGTTGAGTACACTGTGGTGGGCACTACGCTGAACAGATGGCGGTAGTGTGTAAACGTCAAACGCAAGGGAATTGACTATGCGCGCCACAGGTGGTAGAACTACGAACTACGATACTTTTAAATTGTCCATTAAATGCTTGTTCGATGAACAACTTGCGAGTGTTATGTCTTTTTGTCTGTGCTTAAGCTGCCATTTTGGAATTCAATATGGCATTGGACAGTAATTGCTAGGCAACGGCGCCGGTGGTGTAGTGGTAAGCGTGATTACCTCTCACCCCAGCAGGCCTGGGTTCAATCCCAGTCGGCACCGCCGGGATGTTCTGAGGCATAACATCTCTGATCACGCCTTCCTTCGGATGGGAAGTAAAGCAGTTGGTCCCCGGTTCATGAGTTGATGGGTCGATAGGTAGGGTCCAGGTGTGGGAGCTGCCTTCCTGGCATGTCGGTAGCATTGGTGCTCAGCACGGAAAACAAGATCGACGGAAAAAACAAACCAAAGGAAAAAAAAAAGTAATTGCTAGGTAGTAGCTATCACCACCAATCCCAAAATACCCACATTCATGGGTATTTGACAGTATTTCCAACTTTTCCTGTATCCTGTAGCTGTCATTTTGGATTTCATGACACTCATTTTCAATTTCTAGATGTCATTCTCTAGACGTCATTACTTTTCCAAAAATACACATATTGAAGGGTATTTGACAGTATTTATATCTTTTTCTGAAACCGGAAGCCGCCATCTAGGATTTCAAAATTGCGTCGGACATTGATATTCGGCATCTACATGTCGTCTCAAAAAATCCATATTATTGCATATTTGACAGTTTTTATGAAGTTATTGGCCGCCATCTTGCATTACAAAATGGCGTCAGACATAAAATGTAGTGCTTGTTCCGAAAATATCCATATTGTAGGGTATTTGGCAGTTTTTTTCCGAATCTGAGAGCCGCCATCTTGGATTTCAAAAATGGACATCGATTTTCGGCATCTACACGCGCCCTGTACCGAAAATATCCAGATATAGTAGCATTTGACAGCATTTCAGAAAACAACGGCCGCCATCTTAGATTCCAAAATGGCGTCAGACATCAATTTTTGGGATGTTCACGTGCAACCAGTTCCGAAAATATCAATATTATAGGGTATTTGACAGTTTTTCTGAAGTCACTGGCCACCTCTTGGATTTCTAAATGGTAAGTTTTTCAGAATCTGAGAGCTACCATGTTGGATTACAAAATGGCGTCAGATATCGATTTTTGATCTCTAGACATCATCCCGATTCCGGAAATATCCATAGTGAAGGGTATTTGGCAGTATTTCCCACTTTTATGAAATCAGAAGCCGCCATATTTGATATCGAGATGGCGCTGGACATCGATTTTTGGTCTCTAGACGTCATCCCGATTCCGAAAATATCCATATTGAAGGGTATTTGGCAGTATTTCCACTTTTTTCTGAAACTGGAAGCCACCATCTTGGATTTCAAAATGGCGCTGGACATCGATTTTCGGTCTCTAGACGTCATCTCAATTCCAGAAATATCCGTATTGAAGGGTAGTTGGTAGTATTTCCCACTTTTTCTGAAATCGACAGCCGCCATCTTTGATTTCAAGCTGGTGCTGGACATCGATTTTTGGTCTCTAGACGTCATCCCGATTCCGAAAATATCCATATAGAAGGGTATTTAGCAGTATTTCCACTTTTTCTGATACCAGAAGCCACCATCTTGGATTTAACAATGGCGCTGGACATCGATTTCGGTCTCTAGACGTCATCCTGATTCCGGAAATATCCATATTGAAGGGTATTTGGCAGTATTGCCCACTTTTTCTGACATCGGCAAGATGACGATCTTTGATTTCAAGATGGCGCTGGACACCGATTCTCGGTCTCTAGACGTCATCCCGATTCCGAAAATATACACATAGAAG